GGTGGTGTATTTAACCCATGTAGGATATTATGGTGTGTATATGTTACAACGTGATAAGGTGTATTTAACCCATGTAGGATATTATGGTGTGTATATGTTACAACGTGGTGGTGTATTTAACCCATGTAGGATATTATGGTGTGACCACGTTGTAACATGATGTAGGATATTATGGTGTGCATGTTAAATACACCACCACGTTGTAACCAGAACTAGTGAATAAGCTACCTTTATGATATTACCTGGTGAACGACATGTAATATTATAATAATAGCGTAAATGTTTTTTCTTTTCTGTTATATATATATATAGAACGCTTCTACATTCTCATGTCGATACGGATCAGTGTTAATAAAGTGATTTGTGTGTTTGTTTGATAATTAAGAACAAGAATTTGTTATATATTCTATATAAAAACATATATACACTTAAATAATGAGTTTCTGAATTCAGAAGTGTTGGGTTTTGGTTTAGATTCTGACGTCCTGTGTACCCCCCTGTCTTCAGTAGGGTTCCCGGCCTATAGCTACGGACGGGCGAGTTACCCAGGATACCCAGGTTTCGGTCATCTATTTGCAGGTATGAAATTTTTAAAAACCTCTCTTTTGTTGATGTTTTTTTTTTTTTTCCCCCTCGTTCGTCGTGCCTGAACGAACGGCGTGTAGCTATGGTAACCGATCCGTTCCCTAGTGTTCAACAGGTTTTTTCAAAATTCATCCTTTTTTAATCACTTTCATGGGATTTTCGTTTTAGCAATTCATAATCACGAGCCTTACACCCCCAGTTTAGTTTAGAACAGTCTGGGCCTCGTTTTTAGTATTTATCATAATGTTTTCGACAACTTTCGGTTCGGTTTAATTAACACTAACAGTCGGTAATGTTCAGCTTCCTATCGGGTCCATACAACTTTACTGAATATTGAAGAATAAGACATTATTTTTTTCAATAATATAGCGTGCCAAAATTTTGAAACGTAATTAGTATATATATATATTTCAAATTTTGTATTGTATACTGGAGTATACACAATGATGTGTGATCATGTTACAACGTGGTGGTGTATTTACCCTATGTAGGATATTATGGTGTGTACATGTTACAACGTCGTGGTGTATTTAACCCATGTATGATATTATGGTGTGTACATTAAAACCAAGAACCAAGTTATCACTTAAACATGGTCATAAAGGTAGCTTATTCACTAGTTCTGTAGAACCAAGAACCAAGTTATCACTTAAACATGGTCATAAAGCTAGGTTATTTACTAGTTCTGTAGAACCAAGAACCAAGTTATCACTTAAACATGGTCAGAAAGGTAGGTTATTTACTAGTTCTGTAGAACCAAGTTATCACTTAAACATGGTCAGAAAGGTAGGTTATTTACTAGTTCTGTAGAACCAA